TAGCATTACTAAATAGTTTAGGTTTATATGACAAACAACAGATTCACGATTATAAAGAAAAATATGAAATCCTGCTACAAGAATTTGATGATTATAAACAGGATATATCTAAATACAATGCTTCAAATATGTCTCACAATATTCAAACTCAAAATATGATGACACACGACAAAAATAATAGAACACAGTTACATATTTTGAAAGCACACAGCAGCAATTTAGAAGAAAGAGTACGTATATTAAACAACGAGCTTATGAATAAAGAAACGGAATTACAACTGAAGTTAGATCAACAACAAAAGGTAAATTTTCGTCATGTCTCTGATATATGCTTCAAATTATTGTTTCTACGTGTATAAAATAACATTAAGAAAGTTGTTATTGCAGTATATTCAAGAAGAACGAGCAAAATTGGAACACATGTTTTTGCAAAAAGACAACGAATATCGCAATAAAATATCTTCGTTGGAACAACAATTATTACGCCAACGAGAACGTTCAATGGCATTAATCGAGGAAAAGGATAAAGAAATTTTAACTTTGAAAACATCATTTCATGCGTTACTACCAAAAAAAGAAAATCCTTTTATAGAAAGCAAAGTAGATATGCCAAAATATGAAATTCAAGGAGAAACTGCATCTGATTTAGTAACAGGATTATTAACAAATGACAGCCCTCCAATATTACATTATAGTCAGGAATTAGCAAGGAAAGAAGTGCAAGTCTCGGCTTCTAGGAAAAAGGTTCTAGAATTGGAAGCTAGTCTGAGGGAAAAGCAAAGGGAAATGGTTCATACGAAAGAGAAACAAAAAGAGGAGATGAAAGCTTTGCAAGCTCAGATTGCTAGGTAAATTCTAAATTATTTTGCAAAATTAATCGCCTTCATTATAATGTTTCGAAAGTTACAGCAAATAATACATACAAATATTTTTCCACTGTTTTAGACTTGAAGCTTGCAAATCCAGAGAAGGCGCCAATCTCGAATATTTGAAGAATGTTTTTATAAATTATCTGACTACCAATGATATTTCTAGTAAACGGCATATGTTGAACGCTATTTCTACAGTATTACGCTTTACTGCAGAAGAATTAAGTAAAGTTAAACCTTCAT